AATCAGAACCGACACGCAGAGCCGTCGTTCCCAACAAAGGAAAAAAATCCAAAAGGCTCCTCCGGGGCGCGCAGCGAGCTGCTCGCTCCAGGAAGCATATATCTGGAATGCTGTTTTTTCCAGTTTGTTCCTGGGATAGTATTACAGGTAGGCCACACCCCTGTGGAAACTCCCCCTAGACTGACCGGCCTCTTAGGACGTAGTCATGTGATCCATCATGGGAACACCACTCACAAGTGAAGTCCAGCCAAGTTGACAGATCTTCAACTATCACACTGCCCCTCTAATATTCTTGTACCACTGGTCTTATTATTATCTGAAAATGGTTTACTTGGTGGTAGAATTGTTTTCTCACTTCTAGCGAGACTGGGGTAATTGTGACTTCTATGATGTACACTGGGTGGTGGTGGATGCCTTATTCAATGAATGTTAGTGTTGTCTTATTCCAAACGATGTCCAAACATCCTATGCCATTTCATTGTTGTATTGGTGTGGAGTTGGAGGAGAAACAAGACCTCATTTTGAGAATGCTGGCTGTATACCCTGAATGTGCTTAAAAGCAAATTCAATGTTTAGAGATATAGATATCTTAGAGAGACACTCAGACAATGTTATCACAGTTAACATTCAGTATTCTTAAGAGTGTTCTTTTGTTTTTCCATTGTTTTCTCTTTTCTTCCTTCTTTCCTTGCTTTATTTCTTCCATGTTTCTTTCCTTTCTTTTTATGACAGAACTATTTAGAAAGCCAAGCCCATGATATCGACTACACACTTTATCAGGTCAAGAAAACATACATTTATTAAATTATTATTATGTTTTGAGCAGTGTGGGTAATAAAGGGATAAATACATTATAGCTCCTACTCTGAAGAGTACTGCAATCCAGAGGATGAATTGCACAGAATGAGTATTGTGCAAGACAGAGTGAAGTCCATCACAGAGGTGTAAAGCATCTACCCCTGGAGCAGTCTTGTCCTGGTCTGGGAAGAGACCATGTTTCCCAGTGTTATGCAGAGTAGTGATGAGGCTATTCATTCAAACACTCAGTTAGCAGCATAAGTGAAATGCTGACATTAGTGGACCATTTGCTAAAATTATAACAGGCCCCCCAACTCTGTCAAAAATTCCCAGTATGTTAGCATAGATGCTTGGGCTTTTCAGTTACTTGCTCTTCTTTCGTTCATTCAGTTATCAAACATTTGCTGAGTGCCCACATTGTCTTAGCACTGCGCTAGAGATACAAAGAGGAGTATCTCAAGGGATTTATAGTACGACAGAGACAGATTTGTATATGAATAATGTCTTAAAATGCTATAGGTACACTTATAGAAGCCATACAGAGCACAGGGGGATATAAGAAAAGATTAATTCCACTGGGAAAGGTCAGCGATGGCTTCATAGAGCAGTGCACCCTGGGCCTAACTCTAGAAATATGGCTATTTTTCTCCAGCAGATGGCTGAGGGATAGATGCACAGATAAGAATGAGGTTCCAGGCATTTAAAGCCACATCAAAAGCCCCATTTCCATCAGTGAGAAAGACCCTTTAGAGGCCAGGGAACTGGTTCTTTTCATGGGCATTAGGCATTTCACAAGAGGATGTTACAGAAGTGTAGCCAAATCAAGGAAATTTTCTGTTTCATGGGAAGAAGTTTAATTATTTTTCCTGTCCTGTGAGGTGCCCATAGGGTGGTATATTAATTTCCTAGAGCTTCCATAACAAATTTCCACAAATGAGGAGCTCTGGTAGCATAGTGCCTAAGACACTTGACTGCTAACCAGAAGGCTGGCGGTTCAAACCCACCAGCCACTTCTCGGAAAGAAGATGGGGCAATCTACTTCCGTAGTGATGTTGTTGTTGTTGTTATTTGCTGTCGAGTCGGCCCCGACTCATAGCGACCCCTCCTTGGGTTTCCGAGGCAGTATCACTACGGAAGTAGGATTGCCCAACCTTCCTTCCAAGGAGTGGCTGGTGGGTTTGAACCGCCAGCCTTCTGGTTAGCAGTCAAGTGCCTTAGGCACTATGCTAGTGATACTGCCTTGGAAACCCAAGTAGGCGTTGTTATGAGTCGGGTCTGACTCGATGGCACACAACAACAACAACAACAGGTAGTTTAAAACAGCACAAATATGTTTTCTCACAGTCCAGTAGAAATATGAAATTCAGGTGTCAGCAAGCTTGATTCCTTCTGGAGAAACTGTCCCATGTCACTCTCTTGTCTTCTGGTGGTTGCCAGCAACTATTGGCATGTCTTGGCTTGTAGACAGACACTTCACTCCACTCTTTGCCTTCATCTTTATATGGTCTTCTTCTCTGTGTTTCTGTGTCCTCTCCTCTTCTTGGCAGACCATAAGACATTGGATTTAGGATCTACCCTAAATCCAGGATGATTTTTTTCCCCAAGATCCCTAGCTAATTACATTGGCAAAGCCCTATTTCCAAATACAGTCACATTCTGAAGTTCCAGGTGGATGTGAATTTTGAGGGGGGATGCTCTTTAATCCAGTACAGGCCCTCCCTCCATCCTGCCCCAGTGGTGACCCATGTGCTCCTGCCCACCAGGACATACTGAGAGGCCACTCACCTTGTGATGGGGCAGCCAGTGCAGTCTTCCTGGGTTGGTCCCCAGCACTTGGCACATGAGGCTTCACAGATCTGACAGTGGCCATGATCGTCAATGTATTCTCCTGGGGAATAAAATCTAGTTGTTTACTTCATTTCTACATGGCAGTGAAGCTGAGGCTGTCAGTCTGAAAGCAGCCAGATCTCTCTGTGGCTGCCTGAACACAATGGAGATGGCAAAGGGGAGAGACCTTGAATGGCTTCAGCTGCCAGCCTTACATCTTGACCTTATAATAACAAATGCTCCTCTCCCAGGGGCCCCAGAAGTTGGAACCTCAAAAAGTTATGAGGCAATGACATAATTTTGGATCAAGTCAACATGTGTTACAGATTTAGTAAGTAGGGAGAGGCCAAGGGGGGCTTCCCATAGGACCCCTTCATTGAGCTCCTACTGATTTTCCCATTAAAGGCTGAGGTCTCTGGGTCCACAGAGACTCCTGTGATAGTATTGTTCAAGTCAGACAACAAGAGGACCCACCCATATTTTGATCCATCTGCCAGGAGGGGGGTTATGGATATTGGTCAAGAGTGGGAGTTGAATCTTGGCTGACATTTGGCAGATGTAAGCTACATATCACCCTGAAAGAGTAACAATGAGGAGACAGCCAGAGAAGTCTTCCTTTAATTGGAAAGTGTATTTTTTTTTTGCCCCTAGGAAAAACAAATATGAGGACTTTCCACAGAAGCAAGTCCAGCTCACACATTTCTTGTGAGTATTTAAGAAATTACAGCCATGGTGAAGATGCTGGAGAAAAGTCAACCTTGTTGAAGGTTAATACAGAGATGGGTCTCTACTCACTGAATGCAGCCCTTCTGCCTTCATCACACATCCTTCCCTGTCATTGTCTTCAAAAAAATTGACAGGCTACTTTAGTCTGGTCCAAAGACCTACTTTTTCTGGTTTAGTTACTGATCATGTTCAGAAAATAGAGTTTCACTTACCCTCATTCCTACTTCTACAGCATTCTAAGTGTGTGTGTGTGAATATTGTCAATCTGAATTCCAGTGTGGAAGATCTGTCTAGGGTTTCATCAGGTGGTGTTACTGAACCTCTGACTTGCTGCCTGATTTATTGCAGTTGAAAAAGTCTGGAAACATAATGACAAGTGAAGGATAGAGGTAAATTAGCCCCTCTGACTTTTTCCATGGCTTTACTGACTTGGGTAAGGTAAACCTTACATGCATAAATATTCCACTTATGAGTACCAAACCACAAAGATGAAACTGGATGAAACTGAAGAAGCAGTTAGAGGTTTTTTTACATAGCAGAAAAAACCTTTCATGAAGAGTTATTCTATTAAATTTTGTTGATTGAGGGGGAAAAGTATACATTAGACTTAGAGTAATGCAAGCATCTACTACTGTTATAGTCTACACATCCTGGACTCTGTGCTTCTTTGTCTTCTAAGGTGCCATCTAGCTCAGGGATCTGACATAGTACTTTTAGAACAAGATTGTGGTTGTTAACTCAATAGTGATTCTCCAGGCCTTAAAGACAATAGATGTAAATATGCAAGTTGATTACTGCACAAGGGGTCTGGGCAAACGGTCAGTGGAGGCTAAAATTGAGCCCATGCTTGTCTTACCAAGTCATGTACTCTGGTGTTGGCTGTCTCAGCCTGCAGTGTGGAGAGTCTTTTACTAATTCTCATGAAAGTGCTGGATGGACTAGTTGTGGTATTGGTGATCAGCAGTCTCAGGAAAGAAAAAAAAAACTAGAGCTTTTGCCTAGTAGGAGTGGTAATCTAAAACTGAGATGATTTCATTACTATGGGCATCATATTTCTACAGCCTTCTTTATATTTGTTCATGCTTTCCCATTCCTCCTCTTACTTGTTGGCCTTACTATAATCCCTTCAGTTTTGTCGTAGGAGGTACAACCAATTGAGCAGTGCAGTTATCAGTTTAGGGACCAGCACATTTCCAGGGCAGACTGGGTAGTAAGAAGTAAATATTGCCTAAAGAACCATTGCAAATAATCAAGTTTACAAACTCAGATGATAAATATAGATAAATGCAGATTATACATGTGGATTATATATAATACATATATGGATAAATATGAATTACATATATATATATTTATGGATAAATATGGATGATATATATGATAGCTATCAAAAGATACATGTTGAGTGGAAAAGGAATGTCTATAGGAAGTAACACAGTGGTTTGGTTCAGTCCAACTTCTGATATCCATCCATCTTAATCCTTATGATGTAAGGTAGAATTTTAAAGTAAATATACCTTGTTCTGCTAAATTAAATGTTACTTAGATGGTTCTGAAAGTTATACTATATCCACATCCAAAGTTTCTTTGTAATTACAGATGAGGTATGTCTAGGTCAGTCAGGGGTTATTCGGACATTACTGTGAGCATTTTAAATTCTCCTCTCTCTTGGGAGCTCTGGTGGTGTAGTGTGTAAGGCATTTGACTGCTAACCAGAAGGCTGGCAGTTCAAACCCACCAGCCACTCCTCAGAAGGAAGACTGAGTGGACAATCTACTTGGGTAGAGATACTGCCTCAGAAACCCAAGGAGGAGTCACTATGAATTGGAACTGACTCAAAGCCAGTGAGTTTGGTTTGGTTTTTGGTTTCTCTCTTTTTTGGTTCCTCATTGGTTTCCAAATACCAGTAGATGGCACTAATACCTTGGCCTCAGATTTCCTTGATCTGCTCAACAGTAATGGTCCTTGGCATTAAGGGAGTGCCACCTTAGATGTAATTATCACTAGGAATTGCCCCAGATACAAGATTTTAAATACCTGCTCCAAACACAAACTTTTTTGCCCCACTAGACTCATTAATAACCTGCGATACAGAGATGACACAACTTTGTTTGCTGAAAGTAAGGATGACTTGAAGCATGGTTCTACAATCAACACCAATGGAAGCAGCAGTCAGGACATCAGATGACATATTACATTGGGAAAATCTGCTGCAGAGATCTCTTTCAAGTCCTGAAGAGCAAAGATGTCTCCTTGAAGACTAAGCTATGGTATTTTCAATCGCCTCTTATACATGTAAGAGCTGGACAATGAACAAGGAAGACCAAAGAAGAATTGATGCTTTTGGGTTGTGGTGTTGGAGAAAAATGTAAGAGCACCATGGAGTGCTAAATGGACTAACAAATCTGTCCTGGAATAAGTGCAGCCAGAATGCTCTTGGAAGTGAGAATGGCCAGACTTTGTCTCACCTACTTTGGTCATGTTGTCAGAAGGAACCATTCCCTGGGGAAGGATATCATGCCTGGTAAAGTGGAGGGTCAACAAAAAAGGGGAAGGCCCTCAATGAGATAGATTGACATAGTGGATGCAACTATGGGCTCAGGTATAGCAAGCATAGTGAGACTGGCCAGGACTGGGCAGTGTTTCATTCTGCTGTGCATAGGGTCACTAGGAGTCAGAGAGGACTCAACAGCACCTAACAACAAGTGTCCAGCTCACCATATGTGGTACCCAAAAATATGGATTACACCTCAACACAAAGAAAACAAAAAACCTCACAACTGGACCAATAAGCAACATCATGATAAATGGAGAAAATATTGAAGTTGTCAAGGAGTTCATTTTACTTGGAACCACAATCATCGCCCATGGAACAGCAGTCCAGAAATCAAATGATGTATTTCATTGCGCAAATCTGCTTGCATAAGATCTCTTCAAAGTGTTAAAAAGTTAAGACATCACTTTTACCCAAGCCATAGTATTTTCAATTGCCTCATAGGCAGACAAAATGTAGACAATAAATAAGGAAGACCAAAGAAGAATTGATGCCTTTGAAATATGGTGTTGGTGAAGAATATTGAATATACTGTAGAATATTCAATGAATGAACAAATCTATTTTGGAAGAACAGCCTAAATGTTCCTTAGAAGCAAGGCTTGAGACTTCATCTCATGTATTTTGAACTAGGTATCAGGAGGGATGAGCCCTTGGAGAAGGACATCATGTTTGGTAAAGTAGATGGTCAGTGAAAAAGAGGAAAACCCTCAAAGAGATGGACTGACACAAAGACTGCCATCAGTGAGTTCAAACATAGCAATGATTGTGAGGATGGTGCAGGACTGGGCAACGTTTCTTTCTATTGTACATTGATTTACTATAAGTTGGAACCAACTTGATGGCACATAACAACAGTAATAACAATATGACTACGTGGCCACCCTTTCACCCATTGCTTTCTAGCTCCTTCCTGCATTCCCCACTTGGGCTAGGTCAATCTTTTCCAAGGCCCAAACTCTACCCTTTCTTGTCTAGAAGGACATCACCTCCTAATTTGCTGATAACTAAAAATTCACCAGTCACAACTTGGAAGGAAGGCTGGGCAATCTACTTCTGTAGTATTACCACCTTGGAAACCCAAGGAGGGGTCGCTATGAATCGGATCTGATTCAAGGGCAATGGGTTGGGTCCTATTTGATGGCAGGTAACAACAACAAAAACCAAACCAGTTGCCTTGGAGTTAATTCTGATTCATGATGACCCCATGTGTTTCAGGATAGACCTGTGTTTCATGGAATTTTCAATGGTTGCGATCTTTGGAAAGTAATTGTCCAGTAATTTGCTGATAAGATATCTGAATTTCCTCAGGCTCTTTTCTTTTCAAGGTCAAAATTCTTCTCTTTTTTTCTCCTTGACAATTTGCTTTTCTCCTGTGTCTAAGGAAAGTATGCCTCTCCTCATGTCAACTCTCCATCTAATGATCTTAATCTTCTATCCTCAGGATACCTCCCCACCCGTCTCTGTCTTCACTTTTTCTCATCATTTTCCAACCTACAAACAGTTTTCTCCCATAACTGAAAATCCTCCTGGGCAGGGGGCTGTGTCTCTTCTTTCCTTCTCTGATAAGTGACTCTTCAAACTTATTTTTCCTCCTACCATTTGAAAATAAAATGTAGAAAACTTTATAACCTTGAAGCTTATGTAAGAGAGTCAGTGTAGGACAGCTAAACTGTACATCTTTCTCAAGTCTACACGCCTCTTGATTTTAGAGCAAACTTTGGCTTTAGAACAGATGAGAACAGAGGGACCTGCCCTAATTTTCATATTTATGTAGATGTC